AGCGTCACATTGAGCGCATTCAGCGGACTCAACAGTTGAGTGAGCGCTTGCTGTTATTGGTGTATTCTTTTAGCTCATCCAATCAGAATTTTAGATCAGAATTATAGAATAGCAGCGAGCGCTCACTCAACTGTTGAGTCTGCTGAATGCGCCCATTCTGATCATTTCATCCTGATCGATGGATCAGACCGAAACGCTGTGAATATCTCTCAATAATATCGCAATTTTAAAACAGGAAGTACGCAGTGTTGATTTTTTGAATACTTTCCCTTTCCTATACTCCTCGGACTGACTACTTGTAGGAGCTGCTCAGCTCTTCCCCTGATGAAAATAAGAAACTTTATAAAGCGTTGACAACCGTTTAATGACGACTTTTTGAGAATTTTTATACTTTCAAACTTTATAAGAACGCTTATAGAACACCATTGGGTTTAAACACTTTCAGAACGCTTACAAAATACAGTATATATCGTTTCATGAAAGTTCTGTAATGTTAAAGCAACGCTTTTCAGAGGACGCTCAGTAAATGTTGATGCACCTTCCCGTAGAGAGTTCACTGTCAAACTTTTCAAACATTTATCAAATGCTTTTCTCAATACCGATCAATAAGACAAGCATTTTCCGTTCAGCAAACTCTGTTCCAACGTGGCGAATTAGTAAATCACAATAAACGTTTTTTAAGGCGTTTACGCAAATGGCTTAACGACGCCCAAAAAACGTTTTTCTCCGTAACACAAGCGTTTTTCCTCCGTTTAGCAAACATTCTTCTACATGTCCATTTTTAAGCAGTGCACAACATCAACACTAGAGAGACAAAGCAAAGTTTAATTTCTCGTATTTAAAAAACCACATTGAATAGGATAAAAGGCGCAGTATGATGAGACTTCTCAGTGAAAAATTTTGTTCTTCTTTTTGATAAAATGTCGGCGTTCAGTAGACTCAACACTTAAACTGAACGCTCACAAACGCTTTTTACGCTATTTCTAATGACAAAAGTAAACGCCTGTTAAATGTTTAACAGAAGTACGCAGTTCTCAATGGTGGAGTAAACGTCTATTAAACGCTCTACACAAAACCTATAAACATTTTAAACAACTGTTAGTAAACGCTTTACGTCAACTAAACGTTATGTAAACGCTTCAAAATGCCGTATACAAATGCATTTCAAACGTTACAATGTTGCAATTTCCACTTTATGAACACTCTATTGACTGTTTTTAAACTCTCAACAAACTTCCGCAAACGCTCATGTAAACGTTAAACAAACGTTTATGAAACTTCTCATTTTCGTCAGGGTCCCCTTCTCCCAGACTAACCGCGCTTGTAGGAGCTGCTTAAGGTTTGTTCGCGTCGCATGCTCCAACATGTTCCAATATGCTCCTACCACATAGCTCTTACTTACTCCAACGCGCTTAATAAAGTGAGTAGGAGCTATGGTAAGAGCATGTTGGAGCATGTTGGAGCTTGAGACAAACGTTTAGTCTCTCCCTTCTCAGAATTGATCGCGATCGTACGAGTTGCTCAATTCTTTCCTTCACTACCATCCTTCTCTTCTATAATTCATAATCAGTCTTCAATTCTTCTTTTCTAATATTAAATTAACTTAACTAAGACTCCTTATAAATCAAAAAACAATGAAAGAACAAGGGCAGTAGGAGTCAAGCGCGGGAGATGTTGCGCAAATAACACGACTATCGTAGCATGAAACTTCTTTATTTTACTAAAGCGCTTACATGTTTCGGCTCATTTTTGAGCCTTCTTCAGAGATAACTAATACATTCACATACATAGAATATAACAATTATTAACTAGTCATGGTGATCTTCCTCACCTCGAGAGTATAAATACCAGAATTAAATCCAGATAAGAATGCAGTAAAAAAGAAAAAAGGGGAAAAGAAATTTTGAAATTCTCGAAATAAAGAAAATGTAAAACTAATGTATCAAAAAATTTTGAAACTATAATTAATTATTCCGATGGTTAGGAAGCTCACCTTGATCACAAGATACCGCATCGCAAACATTACTCTTAATACTTCAAAAACAGGTTTCTGATAAGTTAGCCAGTCAGTGTCAGACACAGTTAGTCTCTTATTGATTTAATTGGTCTTATTGAGACAGTAATTAAAAAACTAGCGTTAAAAAATTAATCACCAAATCAAGAAA